ATATTTGATAAGCAAATTAAGCTGATATGACCTTAGAATGTTGTGCAGGTTGTTAAAAACAATCATGCTAGCAGATAAAAATTTAGATATTGAGTTCATTTTCATTATGAGTAATTTATACTTGTTATTCAATTCTGATCATGATTTTAATTTTAATATAGGGCAATTGTTGGAAGCTAAATATCCTCATATATATTGGACACCCATATGTTGCTCATTGTATCAATCTTATATTGAAGGATATTAGTAAATTACCAATTGCGAAGTCGACCTTGAGTCGAGATATGAAGTTGACGGGATTCATATACTCACATAGGTGAGTTTTGAAATTGATGAGAGACTAACTACAGGGAGCTCCTCCCGGCAGTGACACGATTTGACACTTTCTTTATGACTTTATCCAGCATCCACAAGTAAAAAAGCAATCTTAGAAAGATGTTCAACTTGGAGAAATGGAAACAAAATAAGTGGGCAAGTATCCAAAGAACAAATCACTTAAGAGGATAGTTCACATATCTTCTTTCTTGAACAATATTATTTGTATTATTAAGCTCACGGCTCCTCTAATTCGTGTTTTGAAGCTTGTTGACAGTGAGAAGAGGCATGTTATGGCCTTATGGGTTACATTTAGAGGGGATGGATAGATCGAAGGAGACTATTGCAAAAGCCTTTAATGATGATGCAACAAAATATACACTTGTTTTTTAGATCATTGATAAGAGGGGGCAAGATCATCTTTACCAGCCTTTGCACGTTGCAGGATACTACATTAATCCAGCATTTTTCTATGATCACCCTAATATAAAAGGGGATGATGGGGTTATGAAAGGCCTTTATCAAGTCATTGAGAAGATGGTGCCCATCAATGAGCAAGACAAGGTTAACAAACAGCTGGATATATATAGAAATGTCGGGGGTTTTTTGGTATGGATATAGCTAAGAGAATCAGGAAAAAGAAGTCTTCAAGTAAATATCAATAATCTATCCCTCAATTCACTATGTGTTCTATAGGAAATAGAAATATGTTGCTAGCACTATCTAATGCACTATCTAATAATCTATATTGGCAGCTGATTGGTGGGAGTCTTACGGTACATCAGCTCCAGAGTTGTAAAAGCTTGCTATAAGAGTCAGTAGCCTTACTTGTAGCTCCTCAAGTTATGAAAGAAATTGGAGTATTTTTGAGCAAATATGTTAAGTTTCTTTTAATACAACAAAATTGATTCATTCCTTTTAAAGGTATAGTATATTGATTTGACTACTTTGTATGAATTACAGATACACAGCAAGAAGAGGAATAGATTGGATCGTAAAAGGTTGCAAGATCTTGTGTACAAGTACAACAAAGCTTTGAAGGATAGATTTTTGACTATAGAGAGTTATTAATCTGATCAAGTTGCCTGATATAGATGAGAGCAACGAGTGGTTGCTGGGGAAATTTGGTGAAGGTGACTATGTAGAAAATGACTTGGACGAGGGTGAGGATGGCCTTATATTTGGTGTTATAGGAGATGCAATGGGAGCTGAAGAGGATGATGCTAGACATTTATGGTCCACAAGTAGGGGTCGGGGATCTTTGAGTAGTGGTGGTTCATCATCGAGGAGGGAATCAATTTCAGAGTCGGAACATGAAGAAGAGTTTAATGAAGAGTTTAATGAAGAAGAGGAAACTGAGGAGGATATTCCCCTTGAAGGGGATGATGATGATGTTGAGGAGGATGATTAGAGTCATTAGACTATTATCTTGCTACTTATTTGCTTTATTTTAGTAGACTACTTAACTTTCATCGATATTAGTGAACTGCTTGGGTGTGTTAGTATTATGACCAAGACTCTATTTATGACTCTGGTAGTTTATATCATTTATTTTGAGTCATTAACGTCTTTTTTATGTGAAGTTTCATGACCACATAGTTTTATGCATGTATGTATATCATGAAAAATTCTGTGTAGTGCGCCTCGCTTCACTAGGACATGCACATCGCGTTGTGCATCGCGCATGTGCGCGTAAACTGACTTTGTGCCCCTGCATTGCACCTCAAGCACTGATAACACTGAATTGGACCTAAGACCACTAGAGCCCCCAAAACTTGTCCAACTTAAATTATTTAAAAAATGTGAATCATGTAAAATTGCATCCAAACTTGTCTTCAGCAAAAATGCAATTATTCGTTTAAATATTGGGTTTGTATCTGTTTTAAGGTATTATTCTACCCACCCCATAAATCATCCATTACCTATGCAACTAGAGTTGGGATACAACTTCAAGTTTTATATTTGTCTGACACCCAAATTATCCTCTTTTTTCTCGAGCAATGGAAATGAAGAAAAAACTGTGTGCTCCAAATTCCAACTCTTCACCAACTACATCTCAGCTGCATCCTGTGGTGTCATGATGATCTGGAGATCAATCAATGTCTCAAACGGGATGAACACAAAGAACAAAAATGTTGATATGCACAATAAAGTTATGTTGACTTTGTCCTCGAAATGGGGGCAACAGGCATTTTCTCAGCTCTTTTTCCCTAAGCACATAGAGATTGAGGAACTCCATAATCATATACATAAGCATGTATAAGAACATATCCTCTTTTTCCCTAAGCACATAGAGATTGAGGAAGTCCATAATCATATACATAAGCATGTATAAGAACATATCTTAATATACACTGATCAGAAATCTCTGGAATTGTCCTATATAATCATGACTTGTAACTAATTTGATTTTTTTGTAACTCGTATGTTTGGGGGTATTCATTTGCTCATATAAGTAATGTCAATATATATGCAAGAAGAGACTATAATTGAGGGTCGAACTATTTTTTTTAATCGTTAATCATATTCAATACCTAGCTAGCATCCACAGACACGTTCTATTTTTTTATCAAACACAAATATCAAGTTCATATCCATGTAAATGGAAGAAAACAAACATTAAATTCAAGCTTCCCCTTCAATCTCCCCAAAGGCCACTTTGATTGCAACCTAGTTAAAAAATGTTAACACGTAAGAATAGTTTGATTTTGATTTTATTTTTTCTATTTTTGGGTATCTGTAGGTATGATTGGGTTTGGTTGCTGATGCATTATGTCAGTAGCTCACTGTTTTGGTTGGGTTTGTTTACTATTACGTGAGGTTTTATTTGTTAAAGCAAGATGGATAGAGGAGTTGAAGAAATAGTTTTGAGATATAATAAGCATTGAGGAATATTCCTAGAACTATGAGAAAAAAATATGAACGCGTACTGGATAGCAGAAGACATTACAAGAGATCAACACCTCTCTTAACAATTGTTGCAAATAATTGCTAAATTGCTTCCTATTGTTAGGGGAGAAATTATCAAACTGAGACACAATTCTTAAAACGCATACTATAAAATTTGTTCCCGTAAAAACTAACAGAAATTTCATGGAATTTGAGTAGTTATTTGAAAAGGAAAAGGGTTGAGAGTTCTTTGTTTTAGATTTTACTCCAAACATGAGATGGATGTCTCAATAGTCCAATGACATATAAAAGAAGAAACCCACCTTGGAAGAATACTCATTTACACAAGAAGATCACTCATGTAAACTTAGCTAAAAATTCAAGTGATGAAGAATGTTTTTGGGTTAATGATGATAGGTTTGTCAATGTAGACAAGAGGTATGGAGCAGATGAGGAGAAAGGCTATCAATGGGATGAAGGATCCCATACAAACTATGTAGAAAATCCACTATATGAAGAACAATAATGACTAGGATGAAAAGAATGGACAAGAATACAGAAGAAGTTGATGGATATGCTAACTCACAGGATGTGAATATAGAACAAAGGACTAAGAGTATATTGTGTAATCACAAGGTGGTCTATGCCAAGTCATACCGTCAAAGAATTGGAGTCATTTGCCTCCCAACCCCCATGATTGCAAGCCTAAATGCTGCATTGCAAACCATAGTAGCAATTCTCATTAAACCCAGAGCTTCCACCTTCATTAAACCCTATACATGAATAGGATATAATTGTGAATCGTTTATAATCAAGTTTTGAGATCAAGTTATGGATGATTTACAAGGGTTTTTATAAGTTTGAGAAGAGAGAGCCACTAATAATGGGTTTTGGGGGAAGAACATAACAACTGGGGGAGACGAAAAGAACTCGAGTATTGTTTTTTTCAAATTTGAATTAGAAGTTGGGTTAAATTTTGAATTTAAACTCAGAGAAAAGGATGACTAGAAAATGAAGTCAAAGTTAAGTTTGATGGTGTATTTCTCCCAATTCACACAGCTTACCATAGGAACTAATTTGAAGTAACTGATATGAATGGGGATACTACATTGCAGTTCCAATGATATGTAGAGCTAATTTGAAAATATAAAATTCCAAGTGACAAACATCTAAAAAATCCTGAAGGAACGATAATGATGTGCGGAATGGATGAAAAGGATTCTTAGAAATTTCAAGCTACAAAGTGATAAGCAACCAACAATCAATTGAAATCTCTTTAGTTATTAGAAACCAGTTATATGTGTGTTACATTAGTTGATTCAATTGACAAATTGTGCCAGTTTGAAAGTGATGCAACCAAAAGGGTAGTCCATCAAATACAACCATAGAATGTCAGTTTCCTGCCCCCAAAAAAATAATCATACCACTAGGTTTCATAGTTTCATGAGTATAACGACTCACTATCATCAATTTAATTCCTAATCATTTAAAAAAAACAAATACCGAAATAAAGCTAAACACATCAAACAATTAGCGATCAACTCAATAGCATTAAACAGTAAACAAGTTTCACCATTTTTTAACTTTAGCACCCTAAAATGCGAACAATTTGATGTTAATTTTGTTCAAGAATATCAATATAGTAAAGTGAATGAAATTTGAGGAACAAAGTTTAGGTCTTTGGGCATCAAATTTGTCAAAATAGAACTTTAGGGCATCAAACTTAAAAAAGGTCGCAACTTTAGGATATTAAATTGCAAATAACCAAAAAGAAAACACAGAATCTAAAAACTCACAGCATCAGAAGCAGCAAGAACAGTCAAAAGGGCAAAGAGGCGTTCCTCCGGCTTCGGGATTGCCGACTCCCAACTCCTCGGCCGAGTACACAGTCAGCCCATCCGCAGTCTTCCTCCGCTTCCTCGAAGAACCCTCGCCTTTTTCTGATTCCTTCGTCGAGTTCTCTCTGTCGATCTTTTTCTTCTTCGTGGACTTCTTGCTTTCCTTTTCCTCGAGGCTTGAAGGATCCGCTGATGGCTGCTCCTTCTTCCTCTTCTTCTTCTTATCATCCTTCGCTGCCCTGAATATTTCCTCGATCTCGTTCACAGGCTTCTCCTTCTTCTTCTTCTTCTTCTCTTCATGTAGTTTAGGTTTCTCTGCTGAGTTCTTTCCATTGACAGCAGATTTAGCAGCAGGAGCCATGGAAGAGAGAGGGAGGGGGGTTACAGAGAGAGAGAGAGAGAGATGGTTGTAGGGTTTTGCTGCAGGTTTCAGCCCAGGAGTCTTTTCCAAGTTGAGTGGGCTGGGCTTGGCATATTATGGCACGGAACTGGTCCCTATGGGTTAGAAATAAATTAATCCAATCAAATCGAGTATATGAGAACGACAATATTTGTAATCGAGTAACTTTTTGGTTTTTTTTTAAATGTTTTTGGTAATCAATGTGATTTTTTCTTGTTGTATGTCATGGTGTTTTTTTTTCAAAAGTGTTTTAAAAACACCATTTCGAAAGTTTCAAATAGATGTATTTATCATATATCATTATGTTCATGGGAACTATAAATTTTGAAATTGTTATAAAAATTGATAAAACAGAGATTTGATAACAGAAATTGAACTAAAAAACTGAAAAACAATAAAATTTTACCTGAATTGAAGGTGCTCGGATGTGAGGATTTGGGGAGGACAAAAAAGCTAGGGTTTGAGCTCGGGTATTGTTTGGTGATGAGAGAGAGCTGGGGAGGAGAAGAGGAGAGGTGTAATGACCATAAATTTTTTAATATTGATTTGAATAATTTTTCTGGAATTTTAAATATTAAATTATTATTTTTTGAAAAAAGTATTTTTTTTTTCCTGTGTTTTCCTCTCTCACCTTTAACCACTCTGTCTCTCTCTAGTCTCTTATCTCTCCTCCCTACCCTACTTCCTTATTTTCCTCCTCATTTCCCGCACACCCCTCCCTCGTGTTTCCCCCTTGGTACATCTCTCTCCTCCTCAAAAGAACCCCCTCCCTCTCCACTCTTCATCTCTCTCTCCCCCTCCCTAAGAGAATGCCATCCCCGAGAGTCGGGAGATGCCGCTCACTCACTCCATCGTCTTCGCCTTCACGCTACTGTCTCTCCCATGCGCCATCATCCACCTCATCGGTGCCTGCCGCTCGGCCTTCTAAGCCACAATGTCCCAGCTCTCCTCCCAACCTCGGCGCCAACCATCCTCGCTTGACTGCACCGCCTTCCCTGTTCTACGAGCACCAACTCCTCTCTTTCAGTCGCAACCGCCACTCACGCTCTCGCATCACAACGCACGCCTTCAGACGCTGAATAGCCACCCCCTCCTCTCCAGCTCCCCATGCCCTCTAGCCTCCCTTTGCTACCCTAGGCGTCGCCGCCATCACCCTTAACCCCGCTCATGCCCTCCTCTATTCCTCCCTCTCGCTGCCCCCTCAGACCGCTGCTCCCTCGGAAACCTCCTCCCACCTCTGGCAAGCCCGAATAGTGGGGAAAGGCTCCAAACAGCAAGGAACGAGTCCGAATAGCGACCGAGCAACAAGTAGATTTTGGCAGCCTTGTGCTGACTTCGTATGCACTTTTTGGCAACCTCTGGTCTCTGTTTCTTCAACCGTCTTCTCCGGTGAGTAGCCCTATATATTTTTTATCACCTATAATTTGTATCACACTCTAACTCACTCTCTATCTCTCTTGGTATCATCCTAAACATCGTTGGATGGTAAGCAGTTTGTAGAAAACTGCAGCTTTGTGCCAACTTCTCACGCGCTTTTCGATCACCTCCGACCTCCGTTTTCACCATCATCTTCGCCGATATGTAGCCCTTTTTATTATTTATCAGAGGGTATCTCCATCTCACTTGGGCTCATTGTCTACCTCTCGTTATATTGCTTCTAATATCGCTCATTGTTACTAACACGTCTATTTTGTATTCTAACCGATTGACCTTCTAGCAAGCCGTGGAACCCGTTGTGAACCGCACAACCACCCTGACAACCCCCACTGCCCCTCTACGACATCCTCGACGTCCCTAAGGCAAGATCATTTTCTCATTGACTCGTCATTATAATTTTTAGATCTGCTGTGAATTAATTATGTGCATAATCAGCTTGAAATATGATTATGTTATAGGGTATATTGTAATAATCTACATGGGTTTGTTAATAAAAGATATAAAATAATAATAATATGATAAATAATATTACTGTAGTTATATCTGTGAAGTGATGAGCATGATATGTATTTTTAAGCCCATATATGATGAGTGGATATGTTGAAAACTAGATTATGATTAATTATGAGATATTTTTTAAAGAAAGAATATTTTTAAAGATTATTTTGAATAATTAATTATGAGAAATAATTTAAAGAAATTTATTTTGGAAAAATAGATTATTTTAAATTATTATAATAATAAATATTTTAAAAGAATTTATTTTGGAAAAGAGATTATTTTGGATTATTATAATGAGAAATAAATTAAAAGAATTTGTTTTGCAAAAGGATTATTTTAAATAAATAAATTTATTATTTTAAATATTTTTTAGAATAACTTTATGAGAAGTTTAGAGATCTAAATAGTAAGATATTGATAAAATCAGTTTGCATGCATCTACTGTTCAAAGTCACTGTTCATACATACCGTACTGTTCATAGTTACTGTCCATGTTTTACAATTTTTATTTTAATGTATTTGACATGCCATGATATTATTGCATAGAATTAGTTATATTTATTACTCATCATGTTTGAGAACCAATAGGAGTTCATGACTTAGCGACCCTTGCGCATCAAGAACAAGACCTAGAGACGTGTGTGTGTGTGTGTGTGTGTGTTGATTTAGAAACACAAGAAACGTTAGGATAGGAAAGCCTTGATTCATGTAATTGGATGTGGTTGTTGATGTATCTTTCAGACTTGCACCAGTGAACCATTTCGCACTGGGGTTGGTCTGTTGGGCCAGTGAATCGCTTCCCACTTGATTAGTGAAATTGTTTCGTCACCCGAGTTTTGCTTGAGTTCAGACCAGGCCATAATCGGATTACGTGTAGTCCTCTAACCAAAATATTTTACGAGTTTGGATGCACGTAGAGGATTTGTGAATAGTCAGTTATCCGATAATATAAATGTTGACTTTATTTAAGATGTGGATCAGTGATCTATTATAGGATGGCCATCTGCTTGACCTCATTCCTTGGTTGATTTTTGGATTTTTCTGATTATTATACTCTAGTGGTGGATTGTATTTAGATTATTAGAATTCCAGTGCCATGCTTCTATTGTTAATACTGTTATTGTATTGGTCGTTAGACCATTTCTATTCTTCCTAGTCAGATCTTGCCATGTGCCATACACGCTGACGTACTCTTATTCTCTCAGGTTGTTCGTCAAATTTAGAGGACGGAAAGGTTCAGCTTGGAGACGTGCAAGAGCCAGAGTGTTCTCAGCAGGAGTTTTTTTTCTTTTAGTTAGTTAATGGTCTTTAGTTTACTTTTGTGTCACTTTCCATTTCCATTGGGTCGATGTATTTTTATATTTTCTCTAGTATTTAGTTGGATAGTTTGTATTATGGCATGTATGACCCGAGTATTATGTCTTGGATGATATTTCTTTTATGATATGTATCATTATGTTCTGAGTTGTTTATTATATTCTTGCTAACTGTGATCGGGGACTTGTGACTTCGCATTATATTGCTTGACGCTTAGCATGTTAGATTGAGCTGAAATGGTCTAGTACTTATTTCTTCTAATCTGATACGTCATGGGCTTGTTCGCGTTCCGGTTGCCTGGTATTTTGGGAAGTAGGGCGTGATAGGTTTTGTTGGTGGCCCACGCAAGTCATGGTCCCGAGTTCCCACCAGTGAGAATATAATGAATAATTTAAATGCATATTATTATTTCATCCGTAAGACTATACTTAAGCCCTTATCCTATAATGTTGATTTAGTCCCTACCTTACTTAATTTTGATTTTGATTTTGACTTGATTTTCTTATTCTTCCTGCAATGATTTTGATCCTTATTTTTCTCTTTCTTTGCCTTCCCTTCTGATCCATTGTGGGTACACGTAGCAATGGTAACCTATCCGATAGCACTGGCCCATCGCCCAAAGTAGACCCGCGTTAACTTCTGGCAATGATCCAGAGACTGGCAACGAATTAGTAGCATCTGGCTGGGTACTTGTAGTGGGAGCTTCACTAGCTTCCCCCTCGCACAGAGCCTGGTATTAGAGAATTTTGGTACATGCGATCTCCTTCTTTCTCTGTTACTGATGGACCTCTAGCGGCAGAAGAATTCCTCAAGGCTACCGAGACCATTCTCACGGTGACCCGTATTGCTCCTGAGGAGTGGGTAGATCTTATGGACGTCTAGTTCACTGATACTACATGGATCTGGTGGACATCTGAGAAGACCCATCTTGAGAGGCCGATTCCGTAGGAGACATTCACGGATCGCTTCAAAAGAAAATACTTTCTTCAGTCTGCCCGAGACAAGCTTTTAAGTCAATTTGTCAAGCTCAAGTAGAGCGGTCGATCGGTTGATGAGTACGAAGCTGAGTTCTCCTCTCTTAGCCGACACGGTCCTTACCTGGTTACTGACTCCACCATCAGGAGGCATCAGTTCCAGAAGGGTCTAGGTAAGTATATCAGGTTTGCTCAGACTGGTAGGGCACTTATGTCTCATGACATCATGCTGTATATAGTGCGCGAGATCGAGAGTGTTCAGAAGGAACCTAAAGATCTGCATATGGCCCATAGCAGACCACTAGTGGTCCCAGTCCGGAATGTTGAGCGTCCCCCTCCGAAGCAGCAGATTCCTGAGAGGTAGAAGTTTTCTTAGCGACAACCACTTCCTCAGGGCCACCCCTATCAGTGCTCCAGAGTGCAGACTCGCAACCAGCCTTCGGTAAGGTGTTCCTATTGTGGCTTCTCTGGGCATACCTAGCAAGAGTACCACTCTCCTTTGAGGTTGGACGACGTTGGTGAGCGAGAGATTTTTGGGACCGAATTGATTGCTAAATCAGTTGATGCTGACAGGATCATACAAGAGCAACTTCGCATAAGGCAAGACCAGTTCAAGCATTGGGTGGATGCGAAGCATCAACACTTATAGTTTCAGCCAGGTGATCATGTGTTCTTGAAGATCTCCCCTAACCAAGGTACCATTCGCTTTGGAAGGTGTGGGAAATTCAGTCCGCGATATTAATGACTTTGTTGACTAGAGCAATAATGACTCTGTTAGAGTAGTTAAGTTAAAAATAGGCGGCTGTCGGCGCGGGGTGAGAAAACTACCAACTCGTTTAGTTGTCCAGCTGATGATCGA